GCATCAGAATAGAAGAAAACACAATTTTGGGTGCTGCTGCCATGATGACCATTATGGGAAAACCATGTTACTTATGATTGCCAAACTTTCAAAAAAGAAATACAGGACTAAAATGCAGTCTGAGTTGGAAAAGCAGTCTAAGGAACTTCTTTTTCTGGAAGTTATACATTTTCAAAGTGTAAACTTGTCACATATTTTAATTACATTGGTATTACCTGTTGAGGATAATTAAAATTTGATGTTGAATTTGCAGTTTTACATAATGTATTTTTGCATCAGAATTGACAGTAGCCTATTTTGTGCATAGTTATTTCCTGTTTTTTGTCTGTACATTTGACAGCTTTGCTGCCTTGTTTTAGAAATAACAGCAACAGGAAAACTTTCTGTCCATCAAGTTGTTAAACAGAATATCTTCAGAAATGATGTTCACACAAAAGAAGCACAAAAATTAATTTTAATTATGGAATGGTCAGTTTTCTATTTTATCTGTGCAGAGAAATTAAACTTACTCAGATGCAGTCTTTGAATTGTAAAAAAAGCACATTCCTGACATATGGTGGTCATAACAAAAATACAATACAAACTTCTTTTCCTAATTTCATTTTTTAAAATCACACATTGTATATCTTCCTAGCTGTTTCCCTACATAGTGTTGATTGATAAAATAATGTTTATATTCTGCTCAATTCAGCTGCTGTAGTGGAAAGTGCCATTCTGTGCATGCATGGCGGTTTGTCTCCTGATCTCAAAAATTTGGAGCAGGTAATTTGTGTTGGTTTTTCTTATTGGTATCAATTTTGATTGTATCAGTGCTGTGTGAGTTTCTATGCATTAACTTGATTAAGGATATATTTTGGATTGCTGATGTACTGTGAATAAATAAATAAATAACATCATAGAATAGAATATTTTGGTCAGAATAAAAAATGTTGATGCAACTGACAAAAAAAAAAAAAAATGAATATGAAATATTTTCTGAAGTTTTTGTTTAGTGATTGATTTATTAAAGTTTTTTTAAACCAGATTCAGGATCTTGCACGCCCCATAGATGTACCCGATCATGGGCTTGTCTGTGATTTACTGTGGTCAGACCCAGACGAGGTATTTATTTATTTATTTATTTAATATTTATTTATTTAGTTAGTTTTATCAGTTTTAAACATATATAAGAAATACTCCCTTTTGTGTCAAACTTTCACTTCTGCATTGGTTGATAATTGCAGTATGCTCTGCCATCCAGCCTTGTTGGTAGTGTTTATTGAAATGTCTAAACCATTATTATATGAAAAGTCAGTGCATAGTTTGCTCTTTAATATGTGCAGTAAGTTACCTGTTACTGATCACTAAAGAAACGGTGCTATTGTCAGTAAATTTCATTATTTATTATCAAGTGTAATTCCCCGTCTCCAGCATAACGTAAAGCTGACTCGAAAATTTGAAACTAAAAAAAGGTTTTATAAATAGATCATGTGTTTCTCAACAGTTTTCCAGGAAATGGTGTACCATGGTGAACAAGGGAAAACTGTTGAAATTTCTATGAAAAATGATTTTTTTTCTGTATGAAGGTTTAATACTCATTGAGTGCCTTTAAATATTTCCCATTAAAGGACATCACAGGCTGGGGAGAAAATGACAGAGGGGTGTCCTATACATTTGGTGGAGATGTAGTGAGAGGGTTCATTAAGAAACATGATATAAGTCTCATATGCAGAGCACATCAGGTAAGACCGCTGAATAGGAAGCATGAAACTAGTCTGAATTATTTATTTTGATTTCTGCTTGTCTCTATGTAGTAAAGTTTGATAATGAATAATGCATTGATTTTTTATCTGTTGTCCATCAGTAAGGCATTTAATTGAAAGAAACATTTTTTTAGTCTTTTATGAATTGAAAAAGGCAATAACTGTGTAGTGGCGTAGCCAAATTGGTCACTTCTTGGTGTTTGCAACTGGTCGTAATCTATTTATCCATATTAATTTTCAGGTAGTTGAAGATGGATATCAATTCTTTCAAAAACGAAAGGTTAGTAACAGGAGTTCATATATTAACATATTTTGAATGTGTATTTTGAAACAGGTTTTTAAAATATTTGAACAAATCAATATATTTTGATGCTTATCAGTACCAGTACTATCAATGCATTGCTATAAATCTACACTTTTTACATTTACATAAAATATTGTCAGTGTGTGTTTGTGTGTGTGTGTAAATATAATATAAGCAAAGTACACTTTTTTCAGTTGGTGACTTTATTTAGTGCTCCAAACTACTGTGGTGAATTTGATAATGCAGCAGCAGTGATGATAGTAACAGAGGATCTCACATGCTCATTCAGAATTTTGCCAGTAAGTAAACATATACATTCATGATATCAGTGTCACACCTTTGTCAAATTTGTTTTGCGTAGGTGAATATTACATACAGGTATACATGTAATATCCGTACTGGGGTAAGTCACCCTGCTGGGTTTAAGAGAGCACTGGACACTTGCCTCTATGCTCTCTGCAAGCTATTTACATGGTAATGTGTCAAAAAATTCAACCAAGGTTAATTAATTAATTTCAAAGAAATGTAGACTGCCAGTGTTTCTAAAACTTGGGTTGCTCTAAGTGCACAGCGCTATAACATTGATACAGTGCATGTATCATGTGATATAAATGCAAACCTGCATGGTTACATTTCAGATACATGTATTAGTGATTTAATAATTGTACATTATATATGTACGCCTTCTAGTACGCTTTGTCAAACTTTGTGTGTGTTGGCTGAGTAGGTCTATGTTAATTGTATAGAATTGAAATCATGAAGGAGCTGCTAACATCAAAATTATTTAAATGTATGGATCTGCTGTTTTATCTGTATTGTTAAGTTAAGTTGAAAATGCCTGTAAAATGCAACAGAAATTCATACTTATACATTTAAACAATACATTAGTGCTGTAACAATAATAATTAAGTTTGCAACCTTATGTTTAGGTGTCACTATATCATTAATAATATGTTCTTTTTTTCCAGCCTGAAAGTACACGGAAATTTATAGGAAGTGACAAGAAAAACAAGAAGGATGGGAAGGTGCTCAGAAAACAAAAATCTAGCTGATTATAATTATTTGTGCAAGGATATTTTTCCTCTTATTATACTTATTAAAGTATTATCTAAGCGCTGTGCTGACATAAGAGAGATGAATATATATAAAAGAAGCTGTTATAATGAAGAACGTAGGTGCAGAACTCTTGCCAAGCATTATCACATGAGATGCCATTTTCTTTTGACCTTTTGGAGCTCTGTAACAGTACAATTATTCTGATAAAATGGACAGGTTTAGCAGTTTTGTGGTATGTAAAGCAATGATTTGCTGTACTTTTAATAGAATTTAACTGCAGTTTTCTGTTTGAATAATANGTAGCCTATTTTGTGCATAGTTATTTCCTGTTTTTTGTCTGTACATTTGACAGCTTTGCTGCCTTGTTTTATGTTTTATGAATTGTTGCACTTTTTAATTGACTGATCATATTTTTAGCATGTTTCAATTGTCTGCTATCTTTAAGTGCTTCATTACAAACTAAAATTTAGGTTTTGCATTCATACATACATTGCCCCAAATGTACAGATTAACCTACTTAATTTCATTGAACTCATTGTGAAGTTTGTTTAATGAGCTGTCAGCATTCTATGGCATGCACAATTTAACATTTGTTTCAACCCTTTGAAGTATGCTGTGTGCATTGAAGCTGTGCTGTGTGATGTAGAACAATTGGTTCCTGCTTTCACATGCATGCACTTGGCTGCACTGAACACATGGAGGCAATGCATTCATCTAAATTATGTGGACACAGACTGTCCACCTGACGGCATTTTGATAGATTTTATATGTACAAACTACTGGTTTCTCCATATACTCAAGCCCAGAATGATGTCAGTATAATTTTCTGACAAATTTAAAGACATTTTTGACCCATTTCCTTTAACAAAAAAAGTTGCCATACAATACATACAAAGTCACATTACACCATGAACATAGGTATATCATACCAAGACCGTTATATTGCATTGCCTCCAAAATGCTTTAACTATGTTCTTTCTTCACTAGGCTTTCACATGCTTTGCATGGTCATTTTATAGGTTTTGTGCACATCGGTGGCTTAGAGACACTTGTACAAAAGTACTTCTCTGCTGTTCCTAACACTACCCGTGTTTCTAACGCTACGTGTGGCATGCCCCCTCATGATTCCATGCATCTTATACGGGATATATCCAACCCTGAATTGCCCTGGACTGGAGTCATGATCGGGCTCACTATTAACTCTGTGTGGTACTGGTGCTCGGATCAGGTACAGGGGTTTTTCCCAAAACTTTTTTCAAGGTGAAGTACATAGTTGCTGACAAGATTTGTTAGGTGACCAACCTTGGAACTATTCTCAAGGATTGAGTGTTGGCCAAGTGACATGTACTTCATCTGTAGAAATCATTTTGGGAACCTTTGGAAGGTAAAACCATAATGCTTGTTGCTGAAGAACATGAAAGTGAAAACATCAATTTATACGGTAATGTGCCAAGTTGGTTGTACAAACTACAAGTCTTTTCTTTTGTCTAAAATTATTAATAGTTTAGTGCTGGACACATCACCAGACCATGTAAAATCATTCAGGCAATTCAAATTTCATAACAAGTTCTCTTCATTTAAATATTGGACCAGATTATGAAACATTTTACCTGTGTTAAACTGAAATTGGTTTTGCCCGTAATTCTTGAGTGTAAGTATATATGTAACTTCTGTATAGACTTCTAGGTGTCTTTGTGTCTTTGTTTTATTATTAGCTGTCAGTATATATTGTGCTGAATGTGTTTCTGTGCCGTGCTTCACTAAGAGAGTGCATGCTTGGTTTGTGTGATGAAATATTATTTACCCCATCTATCATATTTTGACAAAAGAATTAAAAAAAAAAATTTTCCCCCCATGTTGGGTAGCAGATAACATCTTCCCTTGTTATGATGGGTTTCTTTCCCTTAACAAATTAACCATTTCTTTACTTACCCAACCTTCTTTGACACCCAAAAAATTAACACATTAGTTAAACAATTTTGACGATATTACTAAGTTCTAAATTTCTTGAAATAGGTTTTGTTGAAGTTGGTGGCTACAACCCTTTGATTGAAAAGTTTTTTGCTGCTGTCCCCAATACAACAAGAGATGCTGCGCCAAATGACACTTATGCAAAGTGTGGCATTCCCCCAGCAAACTCAATGAATTTGATTCGATCAATTGATGATGGGTCTCTTCCATGGCTGGGAGTGATGGTGGGATTAACCATCTCGTCAGTGTGGTACTGGTGTTCAGATCAGGTCAGGAGGATGCTCCAACTTTTTTTTTTTTTTTTTTTGTGATGACTGTATTTGCTTCTGATAAAACATTTACTATTTAATTGGCAGTTTTTCAGACCTCTTTGCTATAGATATGTTCTTGACATATAAAAAGAACCATATAGAAGGAAAAGATGTATGGTTAAAAGCAGATATGAATGTCAGTTTCTCTGAAGTACCAGCGTGCGACATTCAGTGTACTTGAGAGTGGATGTGTGAATGGGTGTTTTATGTCATGTGGTGTGCAATGTGGTGTAACTTTGTTTTGTGTTGGATCATACTGCGCAATCATTGTAAACCATGTTGGGACTGGTATTATATTTTGACCATCATAAAAACCAAAAGTACGAAAAACAAACTGTTATTACATTATTGGTATTAATTGTTCAAGAAATTGTATATAAAGATGTGCATTTTTGTACACATCCATTCAAAAATGAAAATGTGATTCTGTGTGGTTAACCATGATTTGCACAACTGCTGTATTTTACCAAGTTTTATAAAGGTAAGTGCAAAGCGATAAAACATTCCCCAGTTACAACAGTACGTAGGTGGTATGTGTAGATGGTACTTGGTCGTTTGACAGAAAAAGGTACCGGTACCATGAAAACTTCATGAGGAATTATTCTTAAGTTTTATATATTTTCTTTTATCCAAAACCAATTGTAAAGATATCCATGCAATCATAATGACAATGGTTCTATGAGAACACCTCATGAGTGCTGTTGTCTATATTCCTCCTTTTTTTTTTTTTTTTGGTACACCTGTATTTTATTTGAATAATTATATATATCTATGAATCCAGATGGATCTGTGAATGGTACCCCCTTAGATCACAAACCTGCAGATATAAAAAAACTCTTTTCTGTTTGGAGTTATGAGAGTTGTGGATATTATTAATAGGAATTATCAACTTCTGCCCATTTGCCATATAAACCCTTTGTTCTACAGGCTTTGTTGAAGTGGGAGGGTATGAAAATGTGATGGGCCTGTATTTCTCTGCCATACCCAACACAACCAGAGAGGGCTCTCCAAACACCAGTTGTGGTTATCTGCCCTCCAACTCAATGCATCTGTTCAGAGATGTGACAGATGACAACTTACCATGGACAGGGATGGTTTTTGGCTTGACCATCATTGCTGTTTGGTACTTTTGCTCGGATCAGGTAACTGGCACCGTTAGAATGCCTGGATGCCGCAAAATTGATGTCCGAGTCAGGGGCGGATCCAAAGATATTTTCTGACAGTCTTCCAAATTATCTTTGTTGATCCATCCTCCAATTTTGACCGTCTTCCAACAGAAAAAAATAGATACCGTCAATGTAAACTTGAAAATCTGACCGTCTTCCGGAAGACCCAGAAGACGGCCTAAATCCGCCCCTGCGAGTGGTGGCTTGATCATAATGATTTCTTTGAGCATTTAGGCAAAGCATGGGTGATTTCTGTTCTCACCGTGCATGTTAACCTTATTGAATCTTCTCACAATAGAAGGCTTCCTGAGATGCAAAGTGACTACCACAGCAGGATTTTTTTTCTAGAAAAAAAGTTGATATCAATTAAAGCAGTATGTTAAGAGATCAATTAACAAAATGAAACTGCATGTAATGCTAAACTGACTTGGCATTTAATCAGACAGAAACTTTTATCTGTTTGACATTATGTGAATAATATCTTGTAGGTTTTGTAGAAGTAGGAGGCCTTGAGAAAATCTCTGAGCAGTTTTTCAGTGCCGTACCCAGATCTTACCGTAATGGTGGTCATAACGTAACATGTGGCCCCCCGCCCTACGACTCCTTTCACCTTGTCAGAGATTTAGATGCCAAAGATCTCCCATGGACTGGTGTTTTCTTTGGGCTGACCATCTCTGCTACTTGGTATTGGTGCTCTGATCAGGTATAGAGCATGGCTGTTGTCACGGTGATCATGCTTGTGCAGGCAAGATGTGTGCTTCATGGAGGGCAATATTTGTCATGAGCTCTCAGCTTAATGTTTGTTAGATTCTTTAAGATTTGAATTTTTTTATTTTTGCATGGAATGGAAATTAGCAAACTGCATGAAGGTTTTGACATAAGTTAATTATGTGAAATTTTGATGACAGTTTTATGACAGAATCATGTTTGATGACTACGTACTTGCTGCACCTCAGAGGTTTTTCTGCTATCCACTGTAGTGTCACCACTGCATATCAGCTGCCAGTGTCCAGTGGCAGAAAGCACTTTATACATAGTCATATTGTCTTGGACACGTTACGTACTGCATCTTTTTTTGACGATATTGATTGTCAGTGTCACTGTTGTCACACCTGATGGCTTTGTTTTATCAAATAAAAATGAAGGAAGCATGACATTTCACAGATGTCACGTGCATGGATCACAATACATTTGGCATGCTTTGATTATCGCGGGTCATTTTACATGCAGATAACCAGTTTGGTGACCCAAATAGAAATACATGTGTTAAATGTTACCTGTTGTTGTTTTATTATTTCATTATTTTATTAGAATTTACTGCTGTTACATTAGTCAATGAGGTCAATGTTGGACAGAATTCCTGCTGATTTTCACTGCTGAGATTAGTAACTGCGCAGCGTTTGTAATCATGGAGAGGAGTTCATGATACATTTTAAGGATATGTAGAATGTGCAATTAAATGCATGATGCTGAAATTCAGTGCTGTTTAGCAAGAACCATCAAGGTTGTAAAAAAAAAAGATACAGTTTGATGTTATATTTAAGAACTGATGTTTGTTAGAATCAGATATACTTTTTATAGATATGGGCATTTTGTATAACTTTTTTTTTATTAAGAAAAAGTTTACATTTTATTGCAGAATAGTGCATTTGGTGATAGATATATGTGCAGAGGATATACATTTAAAAACATGGATAGAAATGTTTTAAATGGTTTTTCATCTCTCCCTGTGTGCATAATAGTGGACCATTTAAGAAAAAATTAAATTCATTTTTACCAATTTGATTTAAAGTAATTGCTTCAGGAATAATTAAAAATTGTATCTAAATTTTGACATTTCCATTCAACCCATATATTCTGTTATTTAGGTTATAGTGCAGAGAGCTCTAGCTTCCAAGGATTTGTCTCATGCTAAGGGAGGCACTGTCCTGGCTGGATACCTGAAGATCTTACCTATGTGGCTAATTGTGTACCCTGGGATGATTGCAAGAATCCTGTTTCCAGGTAACAATAGCAATAACTCACACCCTTAGTTTTATGTAGTTAACTATTTCAGGTATTCAAAGATCAGATAATTTTTTTAAATAATTTGTTTATAGGAATAGATATTTCATGAAATATAGTGAATTTTAAAATATCATCTAAAAAACATCAAAATGTTGAATACTTTCACTTATCTAAGTTTTCATCCATAATTTAAAACTTCTTAAAATGGGCTAAATGTTGCAATGTGTTTTTATTATTCAGCAGACATACTTTCAGATATATGGTTAAAGTAGACATAGATTTCTTAATTAATACTATTTTGTGGATGTTTCAAGTGGATAACTGCTTTCATTTAGCCTCAAGTTTCTGCATAAATTGTATTCTGTTACAGACGAAGTTGGCTGTGCTGATCCAGATATCTGCTATTCCATTTGTGGCAGTCGCAATGGTTGTACCAACATAGCGTTCCCCTTGCTCGTGATCCGTCTGCTGCCTCCAGGTCTACGTGGCTTGATGTTGGCTGTGATGATGAGTGCTCTGATGTCTTCCTTGACTTCCATCTTTAACAGTGGCAGTACCATCTTCACCATGGACATATGGAGGAGAATCCGTAAGCGTGCCAGTGACATAGAGCTTATGATTGTTGGCAGGTATGGGCATTACCCAGTTATTTGCTTATTTGACTACCCCAGTATTTTATGCTTGTCAAATCTTGCTTTCCAGAACTTATAAAAAATATAATTTTGGAGTTTTACTGATGTAATGTTTTGGAAATAGAATTCACCAGTTTTGTTTAGTATTTGGCAAGTTATTGAATGTGAGTGATTTGCTACTCCTCCCTTTAAGAACACCTACTCTGACTAATTTTCATCTATGCAAGTTACAAGATCTTCAGCACTATTAACTTAAAAGGATACATTAAGCTTTTTGATACTTAAATGGACCATGTCAAATCTGTCTGATTTATGAAATATTTTAATTAGGGTGGCCTGGGGTTTAAAATAAAGTTCAAAATCAAATTTTGTATGAGCTTATTTTTCCTATTGTATTTCAGAGTTTTTGTCCTGATTTTGGTGGTAATAAGTGTGGTGTGGATCCCCATTGTGCAGAGTGTCTCTGAGTTGTTCCACTACATTCAGGCTGTCACCAGCTTCCTGGCGCCACCTATTTGTGCTGTGTATGTCCTGGCTGTAGCATGGAAGAGAATCAATGAGCAGGTAATTAAGTCCAAAGGGCTCTTTTAGATATATATATAGTAAAGATAAAAAATATTTAATTGTTGTTAATTTATGAAAAATGTTTGATTTTAGATATGATTTTTGTCTAGTTTTTTTATTTATTGGAGTAAATTTTTGTTTATACATTCTTACACAATATGTAGACACGGAATTTCCCCTCCCTGTACATTAATATTTTTTACTTTATGCATGATTTCTATAGGGAGCTTTCTGGGGTTTGATGATTGGACTGGTTACTGGCCTTGCCCGCTTTATCTGGGAGTACAGCTATGGGCCTGCTCCCCCATGTGGAGAAACATCAGATAACCCCATCCCACCCATCATTTCCAAGGTCCATTATCTCCACTTTGGTATTCTGTTGTTCTTCATCAGCGCCATTGCCACAATTGTCATTAGTCTGTTGACAAAGGCAATCCCAGATGAGTATGTAAGTATACACATGAAAGGATCATAAGACAGGAAACATTTTTCATGAGAAAAAAGTTATTACTACAAGATTTATTTACATATGAAGCCACCACCTGTATCTGTCACCTGTCCCTGTGCTGCATATCTCTCTTGATTGCAAAAATTACAAAAAGTTTGCCAAAAGTTTCTGGAATTACAAAATGGGACAGAAATGCAGGTGCTGATTCCATTATTCTTTCAGAAGTATGCTGTTATTTGTGACTTTAATCAGTTTTTATTTCCATTCCAACTTTGTTACTGCAATATCTGAAAAGTTGATATTTTTTATTCTTCACATTCATATGGATTGAGTGATATATACAGCTACGGTACAGGTCAAGTGTGAATTCAAATTACTCTCCAACTTAATGCTGTTTTTTTCTGTATTAGAATTTTATTTTCTAATAAGGATGTTGTATATTAAGCACTTATTGTGTATGATAATAATATGATAAATAATATGTTTTGTTGAAGTAAATCTAATAACTTTACTTTGGGTGGTGGTATTGTAACAATGAGTGATTGTAAATAAGTTAAAAATTAATTGCTTCATCACTCACTGTCAGTATCTGTTCTCAGTTTTAATGCCTCTTCTGGCCACACCTTTTCACCTGTGTTGCTTCATCATTGCTGCTTTATTACTTTCTAATCATGACAAATAACTGTAACTCACTTGGTTTTATGTGCAGCACACATAGTGCTCATCTAAGTTTTATTGAATTTGGTGAATTTATATTAATAATTAAAACTTTTTTGGTTTGTTGAGCTTTACTCTTTTCTAACCACCTTCTAACATTCCAATCCTTATTTTAACTAACAACTTTAGCTTCACCGACTCACCTTCTGGAGCCGCTATAACACAGAAAAGCGAATGGATATATCTGAGGCAGAACACGAGGATATTGAACATGAAATAGAGCTGGAAAAGCATCAAAAGAATGGACTTCCAACAGAAATGGACCAATCTACAGGAGATGTCACACAAACTCCTGGACCAGGTACGTATTGGAATATAAGTCAGTGTGATGAATTCACTTAACTAGTATTCTATATATTGGACATTGAAGCTTAGAGTTCTGTTGACTGAAGTCAGATATTCTATCAGTCTGTAACCACAAAAGAAAAAAAATTATGAAAATTGGATGTAAAGATGAAAAAAATTCATTATTTTTGCAATTTGAAAATCATCAGGGACATTTATTTGGTTATTATTTTACAGAAGAATCGCTCCCCTGGTATCGCACTGCCATCAATTGGATATGTGGTATCGAAAAGATGGTTGGTCATGAGCATGACCTTACAGCAGAAGAACTGGAGAACTTGGAAGCAAAGAAAAATTCAATTCACGAGAACCCAACTGCGAGGCGCTTTTTAAATGTCAATGCCATTATTTTGATGACTGTTGCTGCTTTCTTTTGGGGTTTCTTTGCTTAAACAAAAGGTTATTTATCAGGGAATGGGGGTATATTTTATCACAATTCCCACATTTGAAATTAGGAATTATTTTATTAAATTTGGAACACAAGATTGGGTATTTTTACATATCTGTCCCATCCATATGTTCTTGTAGAGTTAAAAATTAGTCACATTTTGTTGGTTTTTATATTGATTGTGCAAATTGATTTTATTCAGTAATTTACTGTGATTATATTTTTTGATATTTTATACTTAAAGAATGTTCATTGATATGCAATTTCAGTATTGATAAAATTAGTAATATGGCCTTTCCTATGTGATAAATATATATCTACTGTGCTGATTTGACTTACTAGTATTTTTACATTTAAAGCAAAATGAACAAATGTAATATTTATGACTCTATGTGTGCATTAGTTTTTTCATGGAATTGTTTATACTGTGATTTTGTAATTTTTATACAATTTTTGATAAGTATGCACATTCCACCTAATCACATTTTATGGATAATCATTTAAATGATATGTGTATTTATACTTATGTAATGGCTGTACTTTGTAATTTTCACTTTGAAAATATTTTAGACACCTCTCGCGTATTTTTTTCTTTGTTTATTTAATGTCTCATTCTTTATTGACTGATGCCTCAATTTGAAAAAAAAAATGACTATTCCAAGCTAATAGTCACCTTTTTATAACTATACACTATAAGTCTATAACTAATTAGTGCACACATCTGAAAATGGGTTTCTAATGTAGAAATCTTCTTCAGATGCATATTGTGATTTTGTCTAAAATGTGGCTGATGCTAATGATTATTTTAAGCCAAAGTAGAGTAAAACTTGAATAATGCTTTATGTACAGGAATAACATAAGCACCAAGTTTATCGCAATGCGTGAAGTTATTTGTTTTGATTGACATTATTGTTTTACTTAATTGTGATTTTTATTCTGATTTTTTTCTGATTCATCCTTATGTAGTCATGGTTTATGGCTTATTTAATGTGAGTTTTGTAGAATACATATTTGTTTATGTGGGTAACATTTACAGAACTTCTGTTAAGTATCAATCTAAAGCATTTTTTAATTCATTGTGATTGAGGAGCCAACTAATAGTCAAGTTGGTATAATTTTAAAAAAGCAGACAATTCTCAGATATTCTTATAAAAGCTTAAAATGAGGTACTCACAATTTGAAAATATTATAAAGCTTTTTAGTCTGAAGTTGTCTATACCATACGTATTAATACATATAGGTCACTGTGCCATTGCTGGCGACATTTCTGTCAAACACATCTACCAGTACTATTCACCCTGTAACTGCCAAACCTTAATTTTGTTTGATTGAGCAGCTGTGTTTGGTAAAAATGCAGTTTCCATTCAAAAATCAACATTAAAAGATTTTTACAAAGACTATTATAATTTTTTTGCATATGGTTTTGCAATTTTTTTCCTGTTAGGTGTATATTTGCCAGCTTTGCTGTCTAGTTGCCTGTAAATATGAAACTAAGTTCGATTTGATGGCAGGCATATTTGTTGCTATATGTACTGTTCATGATAAATAAAGACTAATTGACTGTTATTTTAGTGGGAACTCCTTTTTTTGCTTAAGTTTGCCATTAACAGGGTTTCTCTCTTTACAATAAATGCAGAGGGGTGAGTTAGTTTACTTATTTCATTTAATACTGCACTTTTTCTAAAGTATACTAACACTAACATTGTGTGGAGGGATTTGAGTAATTGTCATTGTTGATGTCAAATATGTTCCGTACATTGTCGACTTATAACATTTTTTTTAAACCAAAATGGCTTTTCAAACAGTGTCAACCAATATGTGGATTTCCGTTAGCTGTCAGTTAATGTGTATTCTTTCAATTTTTTTTTTTCAGCTGTATCGCTTGACGTTCTTTACCCGCTTCAGCACAGAGACAAGGATGGACATTTCTGAACAAGAGCGGATTGATAATGCTAAACCTGAGAAAGAAGGCGTGGACAACCAGGGGATGAAAGACAGTGATATTAACTTGTCTGTCATGAATTCCAATGGAACAACTGAAAATACTGTCCAGCCAGGTAATGATGGCTACTGGTTTAAAACAATGTGAACCAGCTGTAACTGGTGGCAGCATGATGTCATTGTCTCAAAGTAGTTGATGAATTAGAGATTTAATGTAGCACTAACAACATGCATACCATCTCACAGTACCCCCAACAATTATTTTAAAAGCAAAAGCTAGCTGTTTTTCAAAGCTGTTAATTGTGTCTTGATTTATTATAGTTGTGGAATTGTATCTTTAAGATAAAACCAAATACAGTATACTTTACATGCTCAATGGTAAGAGGTACAAAGGGCCAGAACTTATAGATGAAATGAAAACATGATGCCTCCACTCCATCTACCTCATTGAACAACTTGTCCAATTTAGTTTATATATTTTAATTCTGTTGTGCTATAGGGGGGAGGGGGATTAATTATTAATGTACTGAAACTTAGCTCAACCTTCTTTGAATTTCCCAACCATTTCATTCCAGAACCTGCTGAGAAGAAACTGCCATGGTACAAGACTGCATTCAACTGGATTTGTGGCATTGAGAAGATGCAGGGAGGAGTAGGTGACCTGACCCCTGAACAAAGAGCAGCCATGGATGCCAAGCAAATCTCCATTGTGGAAGTCCCACTGCACAGACGTATCTGTAATGCCAATGCTATCATTCTCATGGTTGTGGCAACCTTCCTCTGGGGGTTCTTTGCCTGAGATAATATCCAAAAGACTGCAAAACAGTTGTCATATAACAAATATAACTTGATGTTTATTTTACAAACCAGCATAGTGAATAATTTTAGACATTTCAAAGGATTTTATTTTTGGATTGAGTTATCAGGAGATAGAATGTTAGAGGGCCAGTTATAAGAATAAGATTTAGAGTTCCCTCCAAAGTGTAAGATATATGCAAAAAAGTATGTATGCAAATTCATAGATATTCATACATTTTAAAACTTGTGAATGTGGTTTTGAACTGCTATATAGCATTTTACTCTTTTTGTAGATTTATTCTCAAATATTTTTGTCAATTAAGTTTACAGAGAAATAACTGATAAATGATACTGAATTATGTTTACAAATTTATTTTAATTAAGTAACAAAGCAAAAAAACAAAATTGTATTAGTAAGAATGTTTTGGTTGTGAAACAATTATTATAAAAAATATTTGATATTAATCAGTTATCTCTGAACAGTGATTTTTGGACACTTATATCCATACCTTTTGGTTTTGATATGATTGTATCTCTACCAACCTGAGTGGTTGTGTTATCAATATCTCTAAAAGGATATTTGTATACCTTCATTTTATATTTTAATATATTATATATACATATCTATGGGTATTATATACAAGACTGTTATATACTTTTTAACATAGTTATTTTCTGTAATGTAACAAGTTATATACAGACATACGTAAATACATGTTATATATTGCTCTTTATGTAAAGGAAGTGACATCAATTTTAAATGACACCTTTCTTTTAACCTTTTTTTAGTCTTTGTTATTTTGAGTTTGGGATACATGTATCTATGATATAAAACATATGTACTGAAAACATTTTACAAAGTCATGATATGCCATATCAAGCAACATGGTTCCAAACCTGGATATTTTGCTCTCATTCTGTAATATTTGCAGCCAATGAATATAGTAGTCTTAAGATGAGGGAGGGATAGTAACTAGACCTGTATGGTAGCACAATGGAAAGGAAATACTTGACATTTAATTGACCTGGTAAGGTAAAAAAATCAACAAAATCAAGATCTGTGGCTAAAATCAAATTATGATTTTGTGTAAAGGAACTTATGAACTGGAGGTCTCATTGATACTGATTTGATGTTGGTTTGATAAATGTTTGAATGGACAATGATATGATTGTAATGCAAATACCTTGCCCTTACATGACCATGTTATAAAGTCAGAACAATGGGACTAGTCCATAATCAGCTTAACACTATAGCTAGCTGATAGACTTTGGATTATCAAACTTTGTTTCTACTGTGCATTCTACTGTCTAGTCCATAATTTGCTCAAAGCTAAGAATAACTTAACAACTTAACTATCAGTTCCCCATTCAAAAGCAGTAATTAGAATTACAATCATTGAGTTGAACATTATAATTTAGGATTTTTTTAGTTGATTGAGTTTAAACTTTTACTTTAACTATGTATTTGCATTTTAAGCCATTTCTAGTAAATTTACCTGAGTACATGCTGGCATATTTTCAAGGTATATAGAGGTGTATTATTGGATAGTCATATTACCATAAGAAAGCATTTAAGTGGCATTTCTCAAAGTTGCAGTAAATTTCTTAAAATGCACCTAAAAACTTGCAATCATGGTATTTATAATCAAGTATTATTATATATAATAATTGATCACAAAAATCAATCAATTCAATAAATACAATCCACCCTTTTAGTCTTGAAGTTGTTTTGGATCTGGTAGTAAACAATTAATGAATTACATAATTATCACATTCATACTTTGATTTTTCACTATTTCAGGTTATAAAATCTACATTAAAATATACATATAAAATCTATATCCATGACAACATCTGTATAATTTCAAAACCAAAAATTTATATCAGCTGTTAAGCAGCGCATGTTATGTATCAAGGGTGACATTTTCCATAATGCCATGTTTTATTACAAAAACTGACAATTTACCATTGAAATCTTGCAGAGATATTTTTTAGCAACAAATTAAGTGAACTAAAAGATAAATTTTGTAATTTGTATACCTAGTTTCTCAATAAAATATACATATGTAGAGCACTTCTCAGCTGTCAAACATTTTTTTCACATTTATTTCATTGTCAAAGTTATTCAGAATGTAATGTAAGTGACCCAAGTCCAAGCAGTTTTCTCACAAAATGTGGTATGGGACAAACTTCAACACAAACATATCTTTGTTGTTCCATTATTTTTTAAAACGGACATATTATACATGTGTGTGGTTTATTAGTACTTAACCTTAAAACCTTCAGAGATGGAGGAAACAAATTCATTTACTTCAGATATTTTGCAAACACTGGCTTTTAAAGCTTTCACCATCACCTGATAATAAGGGGAAGCTTTCAATGTTGTTTAATTGACATCACCTATTATTACATAATACTTATGAGCTGCCATCATCAGCCCATGTCCATATACTGCCACAGCACTCCACTTGCAGAGTGGCTTCCCCCCCCCCCCCCCCCCCCCCCAAAAAAAAGGGAAAACTGTGCAACAATACCCACTAGTTAGGTATCAGCTTTATAGTAATATACTCGCCAAATTTATATTGCCCTCAAAAATTAAGAAAAAACTGAGATATTTGTAAAAGATGTGATAGATAATCATTACTATATCACAATGTAAAGAATTGTAACACTATATGATGTTCAATCCATCATTAATAAGAAGTATATAGCATGTGGATTCATGTATAGACAATAAAGACTATAAAAGCTCAGAAATTGTAAAAGTGAAAATGACTCCACGATGGTACATTACAGCAGTAAAATTCTCAATAAAACCCTAAAAATGCTAAAATATTAAAGATATGTTTTTTAAAAATATGGTGATATAGACTAACAAACCAATATCGAAAAGCCCTGCACTGTTCTGCACAACTTGAGTAAACAATGTGTCATTACATTTCTTTAAATATTGTCACTGTTGAGCTGAGAATGTTTCTTCATGTGAGTGTACAATAACTCCAGACGCTTCTGGTTCAGTTTCATATCCAAGAAAGGCACCCAGAAGAGAACCTGATTTGAGAAAGATATAAATATAATGGAGTAAAGGACGTTTGTATTAAATTTCAAAGAAAATTCAAATTTTGAAAACCTTGCATTCATTAGATCCACATGTAGTATATTGTGTTTTGTTCAGAGAAGTCTGCATGGGAAAAGTACAAGCTTTCTTTTTAAAACCATTAATCTGCTCATTGACTTACACAGTTAACAAGGAATGAAAATGGAAACCAAACTGGGAGCACACCACTTGAAAAAGAATATGCCTGTAAAAGAAGTATATGAAGTATTAAAAATAACATATTTATATTTCTATTCATGATTTTAATGGGTATATTTTATGAGACTATACTTATTTTACTCCATTTTTTCACTTTTTCATTTCTGTAAGAAGGCTGATGGAAACTTTTTCTTTCTCCACCCACCACTGTTGCTGCTAAGGACTTTCAGCAATCTGGGTGATTTCCCAAAGTCGTTCAGTAAACATAAAAACATTTCATGAACTGGCTTTCCAAATAATAAATATTAAATTACCTCTCCATAATTATCTCTAAATTTCACCTCCACTACATCCAGCCACTCTGCTTTTGTAAAGGCAAATATTCTTACAAAGCCTGAAGTAGAGTCTGCCTGAAAAACCAATAAAAATGTTTTTCCTGCAGTGATTGGTAGCATGATTACATTGTAATGTGTAATTTTTGAATTCAAAACGAAGTCAAAATGAAGACACTACTGCAAAATCTATCTCCCACCTAAAAATAAATAATACCAGTCCCTTTTCTATTTTAATTGACAATTGGGAGCATGTTTTTATACGTCTTAAAGTCAATATTTTAATACAATGAAATGTTGTATTTTTAACATCTCTTAAGAAATGATGATAAAAAAGTAAATTTTTTCTAAAGAAACTAAACATGATGCAAGATACCAGTATTTCTAATACAAATGCTTTCTTTCTATATGGTCTAATGCTAATGGCATGATAACTAAGGAAAGATATATGATTTTTTCCTGTCGTATGTCAAAAGGATGACAACTGGCCATTCACTAATTGTAAAGTACAAATAGTATTTACCACATGAATGTCCAATGTGTTCCTGTGTGGATCATGTTCCTCTGCTTCCTTGACCACTGCTGCTAATTGCCGAACATTTTCCTCAGGTGTTCCTGGAGTGTCCCATCTTTATAATACAAAGCATGTGCATGTATGATTATTAGTATGACATGAAATTTGTAGTGCAAAAATTGCATTATTGAAGAAATAAACAACATTTCACACCAATGATATTACCTCACCTTTCTTTATGGCTATGTAAACTACCAAATAAGCACCCAAGCCAAAGTGCCGGCCGTAGCAGAGCTTGCAATGGAGCTTGAAGATAGCTCAATACAAACACCATATTATTGAAATCGAAACACCTGCAACCTGATATGACTCTCACTGATCAATTCTCATTTAAAATGTGAATTACTATTAATGCAATGTGAACTTTCCACTGACCCCCGCCATGAACAGTCTTATCAGGAAATTGGGCCACTGCTATCGGAACCATTAATTCGAACTGTAAAATGACAATGGAAAGCGAACAAAGGGTCACTGAAAACAAAGAGCAACCCTAGAACCATGGATGCAAACTCTGAAATATGGTTATTTTTATCACTGCAGTGAAAAACTTTTAAGTCAGAAATAAGTGGAATATGTTAAAGTTCGTGTAGCAAGATCGGTTCCACGCTACACGCCCCTCACGTGTATTTGTTTACAAATCAAGTAGAGTTCATATTACACATGGTGCCAGTTTCGTAATAATATCCTCAAAACTACACGATGAAGTATTTCTTTAAGAAAGAAAAATCTTCTCAATTTATTGATTTACTGATACTACATGTCAACTGATATGTCAATCTGTTGAATAGATGTGTATATTATTTATGTTACCTAGAAACTATTAAACAAATGCAGTGAAACTTTCCATCCAGATGCTCAGGTGATGTGGGTAGTTTTTGTTGTCAAAATTGAACGGTCAAGAAGAAAATTAGGAGGTAAGTGACATTGAAAAGCTTCGTTGCGCTCTGCTTATGCATTTTACTCCACTACTATATCTCAAAGTGCTTCTGGTCGAGTAAAAACAAGATTTTAATCCCGGAAAAGACTCAGCAAAGACAAAAGTTATGTGTAACTGGTGGTAAACATAATTGTGTTGTGTATTCGATTTCTTCAGTTAAGTTTAAAGGAGAGTTAACAGCTTTATGTCTTCAAGGCTCAGAAATAACTACCGGATAGAGTAATTGCGGCATGGAAGCTGCATACACAGTGTTGTAGTCAAAGACAAAGTGAAAATTTTTGTTTTCACTTTCTGTACTATTTTAGAATTTTACAGTTGCCTTTTGTTATAACACAACTAACAGCTTTTGTTTTGATATCAAGTTAAAACAAAACAACCACGAAGATTTAAAATATGTTTGAAATCTATGTATTCAATGTTAGGTCTTTGATGATTGACAGTAGTTCAATGCCTTAATTGTCATTTATAGTAGAATAAGAAATTAATCTTGTCTTAAGTACATGTTTCCTGCCAAATATTTCAGTAGGTTCAGCTTTGTTGTGGACTGTACTCTCTTAATAACGCCTTAATAAAATTTTGTCTCAGTTTTCAGCCTTACATGCTAATGATACCCTCAGAATGCTATGTATTTCAACCTTGAGGTGCTTAAATACCCCTGCGTATCTGCTTTCTGACAATCTCTGTGGGTCCTCAGTATATAGCACCTTGTATGTATAAATCCAACTCAAAGTGCTTTGGTGTCTGCTTAGGCACTAGGATGATTAAGTCTTAGTCTTGTTATTCTAGATGTATATCTCTGCTAAGTGAGGCCAAATTCAAAAGTAAAGAAAAATGTCCTCAAAATNAATACACTTGATAACACAAGTCCAGTTGCAAGTAAACACAGGAAAGGGTAATCTCAAATAAAATAGGGTGATATAAAAGCAAAATATAGTACAAAATAATTAATATTGCTGATACAACTTGACAATTTTTTCATTGTTTGGTCAGCCGCCATGTTGGCGAGTAGCTCTTCTTGGCCAGTAATATATCAAGAAGAGCCACTCGCCAACATGGCTGCCAACCGGACAATATAAAAGTCTTGCTGATTTGTTAAGTTATATCAACGATATTACTTACCTAATAATATAGGTTGTTTTTATATCACCTTACTTTGCTGGGAATGGTCATTTCTTTAGTGTAATTGCAACTGGATTTGATTTTTGAAGTGTATTGCGCTGTGTTGCGCTGTATTGCAGTGTATTGCGCATTTCAGTTACACCGGAAAAAAGAGCCACAACATGGCGTGCTGAACACTTCCTTCACTCTTCCTTCAAAGAAGTCATCATCTAGTCATCTGGCTGCAAAAGGTGCATTGCTAAATTTGATAAAGGTGTGATTTTGAGGACATTTTTCTTTGTCCAATTGAAGAAGTCTGTAGATATATAAGGCAAGCATTACATTTAAATGATTCTCTTGCAACCCTCAATTTTTTTTACTACCCCATGATGTTTGTAAAAACATTGATGTAATTTACAGATGTTTTGGAAAAACATTGCTCAGCAAATTGAACATTTGCTGCTTTTCCTTCTTTTAAATCACCAGATGAATCTACTTTTGCAAGCAGTTCAAAAATTCAATTGTTATTACACTTATTGATTTGAGTAGATGTCTGTATGATAATTATGCATTTTAAGATGTATGAAAACTGCAGACAGCAAAAAAATTCATCATTGACTAAAGACTGTACCTACTAATATCTTTTCTTCTTATCAATATTTATCTTCCTTCTTCTTGACAAGTATTTTAATGCAATTACATTTTTGTTTCTTATTTTAAAAATATTGAATTTTTTTAAATGTATACATCTTAAACTGAAAGAACAACAATAGTTGATGGTTATTTGGAATTTCAGTTTGTCCTCAGAGTAATGTCTTCAGAAACATTTGGTAGATATGTTATTAATCCCGAAAGACCATCATGTGATGGTACTTGTACTAGTATCTACATGCCACAGATACATGTACATCATCACATGATGATAGTTTGTCAAGATAAGTTATAATCTGTTGGAGTCACAAGAGTTTGTTATTCTTTATTGGGAAAACTACAGTATCTGTTTTTGAGTCTTAAAGATGTCTATGCTTGAGTGACCAATGTCGGGATTTTGGTTTCATAAGTGATTTTAATCACTTATGAAACCGAAATATTTTTTATTTATGACCATATTTTTATCCAGTTCCAAAATTTTAAAAATTCCTAAGATAGATATCACGTATGAATTTTAAGATTAAAGTCAAGAGCTCTTTTTTTGCTGTTTTTGAATGAATGTTATAATTATTATTGATATAGACACAGACTTTTTAATAAGTTAATGAAATGATTTTTGACAGAAGTTGGACAGAATAGCCCCTCAGTTTTTTTCCAGAGAAAAATAATTACTTGTTTAATAGAAATACTTAAAACATTTTTTTCAGGGGAGGGGGATATTAATATTTTATGGAAGTGATAAAGCAGCAGTGCAAAATTAAACACTACAAAATTCCTCAGATTAAGTTTGATTTGTTCAAAACTAACAGCACTGAAGTTTAAATTGCCATATTCAATTACATTATTAATAATAATCATTGCAATGTTTGTTTGTGTACTAGTTAGTATATGTAAGTGTGTATGTGGTTCTCTATATTTATTATCTTTATTTAATCATGTCATTGTGCTTGACTGGTGATTAAGTATCTTATTTTCATCTGTTTTCAGATCTAGTAATCCTGTGAACACAAGAAGTATGAGTCAGGGTCATAAAAGGTTCCACATCAATGAACAGGAGCTCCTGTGCAAGAATGGCTGTGGTTTCTATGGTAACCCAGCCTGGCAGGGTTTCTGTTCAAAGTGCTGGAGGGAGGAGTACCAGAAGGCAAAAAATGCTCAGTTACAGATAGACGAACAGAATAAAATGATGAAGTATGAGCACCTTTTTGATAAGGCAGTTATAAATGTTTCAATTTACACTTACAGACCACTCCATAGTATTAATTACCTCTGTTACATCTTTCACCTATCTATCTAGAATTTTTTATCTTATCATATTTTGTAAAAAGGAAGGAAAAAAAAACATTTGGACACCTTTAAGGTTAATTTGAAAGATAAAAGTAACAAAAAGTATCCTGTAAATGGCTGTGTAATATACTAAACAAATGTTGAAAATTATTACTTTAGAATTGGAATGCGTGTTTTATAAAAAATAGTGCCATGCATAGCAAATTACTTTGTGATAAAGTCAGATGCATATAAGTGATAAAAGATATGATTTGGGAACCCATAAATCTTATTTGTTGTTTTCTTTTAGGTGGTCGCTTATGCTGGTGATTTGCTCATTTTAGTACACTATACAAAGGCCTTTGTTTTAACAAGAAAAAGTTTTTGAATAATGTTCTTGTTGATAAAATTTCACTATAAATAATTATTTTATTGCCTGTTAGGCAGAAAACTCCAGTTGGAGCTGAAGGGAAGGCACCATCTTTTTCCAAGTTTGAAGAGAAGAAAAAGAGAGAGTCTGATAAAAGGACCCACACAGTAAAGTCTCTTTTTCGAAAGTCATCCTCAAAAGGTAAGTTAACTTACACAGTTATTTGGCAAAAGTAACAGATATGTAATTTTAAAGGTTAATTATTTAAAGAATAGAAAGAAAAAGACTTAACCAAGAGAAAATGATAATTTTAGACATAGCTGCTGAACAAGTTGCCAAAAGAGAAGCCATGAAGAGGTTAAGTTCAGAGAGCCAGCAAGTAGGAGAGGGGTTTGCAGACTTCCTTCGCAACTTATCCAAACCAGCAGCATTAGACGTGTCCAAGCACATCCGAGCTCTGATTGAGAAAATCCAGCAAAACCCTGATGTTACAGTTGATGAGCACTCTGAAATAATCCAAGATTTCTACCAGAGCATGGGGGACAGGTTACAGACACACCCAGTGTACAAAGGTAAAGCTGGCTATTTAAATTGTTGAACTGGCACAGTATTATTTAAGGACCTATGTGGTATCTTCTGTTTGATAGTAAGTGAAGAAAAAAAATACAATAAGGAACTTCTGTACACGCTGAACATTATTGAAACTGGACCTACTGTTTCATGTTTTAGGGGACATGTCAGTGTTTGTTTGAATTGGATGTATTGGGTGGGGTAGTTAGCCATAGAGATCTTTTAAATTAAGTTTAGGGAAAGATAATTTCTAGATTTTCTCATGCATGGCACTCTCACATATTTCACATTATTATATCCCAGGGCTTACACACACCACCAGCGACAAGTTGATGGATTACATGGAGAAGTACATCATGACTCGGCTGTACAGGGCTGTCTTCTGTTCCATGTGGAGTGATGATGAGGAGCAAGACCTGATCATTCAGAAAAGAATACGAAGTCTTCATTGGGTCAGCGAACAAAATCTGGAAGCCTCTATTAGTGTGAATGAACCCAGTGTCAGAGCCCTTGTGGATAGTGCTATTACAGGTAATTATTGGTCAATCTATAGTGATGCATTTGACATCAAAGTTATAAATCCCTCAACTTGCTTGCTCCAAGTTACACATTTGCCAATTAAGCAGTACAATCTGGGTCTTTCCTGGCTTAATTGGCCAGAAATAGATATCATTCATAAATTAGTTTGACATGTTATGCATTGGTCGTGAATTAAAGACAGCAAGTTGTTGTTCTTTCTGTTGTTGAATTAAAAGTTGTACAAAAATGGGGGGAAATGTTCATACCTCTTATTCTGGTTTCAGACATCATTGAAATGGATTCAAAGAGGGCCCCCCAGGACAAACTAGCTTCTGTAGTCCGGTGTAGCAATCACATCTTTGAGGCACTGAAGGCCTCTCAGAACAACGAGCCAGCCAGTGCGGATGACTTCTTGCCTGCCTTGATCTATATTGTACTTCAGGCCAACCCTCCTAGGCTGCAGTCCAACATCAAGTACATCACAAGGTTTTCTAACCCCAGCAGGCTAATGAGTGGGGAAGCAGGGTATTACTTCACCAATTTGGTGAGTGTTGCACATGCCATTGATTTACACTGTATCAAGTTGTTAACCAGGAAAGTTTTTTTTTTTTAGTATTTTAGACAATCTTTTGCTCACAAAGTTATGATTAGACTTTTTTAATTGTCTATTTTAATAATTTTTTATTTCATGTTTTTTTATTTAATTCATGTTTATTTTTTCTTTGTAGTGGTCATATTATTACTGGTAGTTTTTACGGAAGATGTGTAATGTTGACATTACATATAACGTGTGATATTTTTTCAGTGCTGTGTTGTGGCATTCATAGAGAACCTAAATGCAGAGTCTTTGAACATGACCCCAGAAGAATTTGAAGGTTATATGTCTGGAAAACTTGTACCCAGAGACAGTAAAGAAGGACATATTTGTGAAGGACTGCGACTGATGTACCAAAATTTGGCAAATTTATCAGAGTTAAGACAAAGACATGAGAAAGTCATGGCTGAGGCCATGCAACTGCAACAAGAAATTGTAGAATTCAAGGAAAATTTTAAGAAGGAAATTCAATCAGTTTTAACCAAGAATCCTTGGACCATTAAACCTAGGAAGACCAAAGTGGATTTGGATGCAGAGAGTCCAGCAACAGATATGCTTCCTCCTCCTCTTATTCCACAAATAGTGGGAGAACCAATGGTTGTCCAACATGATCAAAGCAATGCAAATTCCACAGATATGACCACAGAGCCTCATGTGACAGTTACTGATACAGCTGTAGAAGAATAAGAGGCTGCAAAGAAGAGCTCAACACTCCCATCTACTTCACTCTCTGCCACCTGCTCTACCTATTACAAGGCATTCATCACAATTTAGATCGTCATTTCAACCACCAAAACTTTCCCATTTTAAGAATGAGGCAATGAGTGATCAGAATTCAATTTTTTTATTTTAAAAACATTTTTTTTTTTTTTTTTTGGTGTTGAGCTTTGTAAACAAGGTGCTATAAAATAGTATTAAACTAATATTTATGAATTCATTCATTCGTCTAAATGGTCGCACTGGGTATGTATGTGATAGTTAAATGTACAATCCTGTTTTAGAAAGCATTTTAGATAATATGTTACTTTTTTTGTAAAATGGGCTTCTACAAACATCCCATCAACGGTTGCAGTGTATGCTGGGATGTATAACAAGACCATCGATTTGCAACGAAATGTTGGATAATGTAATATTAATAATTTCATAAATTTTTTTTTTTTTTTTTTTTTTTTTTCTGTACAACTTGGTAATAAGAGGGTCCTTATGGTTTTATCGATAAGTTATAGTGGAGAAGATTTTTATGATGGTTTTATGGCATTTTATTTCCTTGGTCATGGACTTGCTCATTGGGTTTCATATTGTAGAGGGTGACTAGATTCATATTGTGGTAAAAAAAGTACACATGCAAAAGAAACCCGTTTGTCAGTGAGGCCAAAAAGGTTGCACTGGTTTCACCTTTCTTGTTAAAGATATTATTTATTTCATTTCAATTCTGTCCTAGTATACATGTGATGGTCCAGGAAGGGAAGATTACTCTGCAGCAGCAGATTTTTCTGTTGTGACTAATTTATTATTTGTTGACTAGTTTTAAACTGGAAATTATTGTAATTTCTGTTGTGAATAAAGATTATTGTGATTATTGTAGCCATCTTGTTTTTGCTAATATTCAGGACAATGCCATTAAAGCAACATTTACTTGCCAAAGAAATCGATGACAAAAGCAACGATGTAAGTTCAAATGTCTGGCACAAGTTTATTATGAATTGGTCTTAGTTAACAGTATTTTTCCATACAGTACTTTTGCTGATATTACTCCTATCTACTACGCCTCTTGCTGTTGAGCTTCAGTCTTCTTAGTGATATTAAAAAATGTTTGGGCAATCTAGCTGATATAGCTATGTTCCGGCCAGCCTCAAACTCTGGTAGGAGAACAGACTTGCAGTGGAGGTGCATTGGAACATGGCGGACCTTCTGCTGACGGATGCCCAACATTTCCAGGGTTTCATGGTGGAGTCGCTGTAAGTGGAAGAAAATGTTCAGACAGCTGTTAAACTTACTTCACTGGATATGACATCTTAAGATTCACTTAAACCCAACCCCATGACAAAATATGCTTTGTTAAAAAATGGCTAACATTTTAAACAACTTTCAAGTTACCTGAACACAGTTTTACTTTACTTAAAAAATTCTATAACTGTCACATTTGTCTCTGGCAACCTTTCCACTAACCTGAGGTGCTAATTTTGTAAAATGAGAGTACTTGTGATCTCCTAATATTGCTGTGCTTACACCAAGAGCTAAGTGACAGCGTAGTTGGTCTTTCACACCTGCAAAAAGTCATGGAATCGGTAATTCAAAGAAGTACTATCAATACAGGACTGCATATCAATTGGCGAGTTGAAAATGTTTCGATCTCTTCCACTGTAATTCAAGTCTTATATGTATGTTCTTTGTATATAATGATAAAGTTTACATCAATAAAAGCTCTTACCTGTCATTGGCAGGCATTCCACCAATGCACACTTTCCATTATCATCTAAGACCTTATACTTTGTGACTGCCTCAAGTACGTCTTTACGACGCTTTCTCATCACCAATTTGGTTTCCTCAGTGTAATCAGGGATAAGGGTCATCTGCAGTGAGGAGTGCAAAAACAAACATACACCATTCAAATGGATTTTAGTTGTATCAGTACAAGATTTTTTTTTTTTTTTTTTTTTTTGCAATATGGTTTAACCTTCTAACGTAGGCGTACTGCAATGAAAATTTTCTTAGTTGTGTCAAAACCAAACTTGGGTACTTTTGCTGGTTTGTGCTGGATTAAAAAAATAAGAACATCATTAACAATAATTACTATAATAAAAAGCAAGCAATGATACCAATGCTCACATACAAAACGACCTGAATAATCAATACTATATAAAGATTTATGAACTTACTTTTTCTATCGACTTGCCCTGTATTTTGATCTTTGCCATTGCCATCGGGATGTCTACTGTAGCTAAAGTGAAATTAGCAGTTAAATTACAGCGCTGTATCACTTCATGAATTCAAAAAATTAAAACATACAGTTGGCCATTTATAACTTAAGACTATTTACTCTTCAACATCCTTAACAGTTGGGAAATGTATACTCAACAGTATTTTTTTTTTTCAAATATATCACAAAGATTTTTTTGTCTTATTATCCCTTAAACTGTTTTGTGTACCACGAATGAGCACAATTCAAAGAGGAATGAAGTATGAATCGTGTTGTCACTAAACATATTGTTATTTCCTATGATAAGTCTTACCTTTTGGTATAACTGGCACTCCCTTGGTTATTGCCCAGTACTTTTTTATCATGTCACCTCTTAAAACTGCTGCCTGTATTTTTTCTGTCATTTCTCTGGTTCTGAAACAAATGTGAAATCAAGGCATCATTCCACAAACAGATGCTTGAAAAAATTGACCACTGCATACACACAGGCACTCACTGAAATATGGTAAGATTTGGACAAATCTAAGAACACTATAGAGTATATAAAAGTTCGGAGTGCATGCATGCATGCGTGCGTGCGTGCGTGTCATAGAAAGAGAGAGAGGGATTCATATTCACGATTTAAAAACTCACTTTGCAAGAAGCAAGACCCCAGTTTCATACTGAGCCACTCTGTGAGCGAGATGGAGCCTCTCCACCTGATGTCTTCTCTTCTGTAGTACCTGGACCACTTCTGGCAACAGCTGGCCAACAGACATTGGTACACCAGGACCACCTTCAAATAACAGATACAAATATTTTTTTCTGGGTAAAAAAGCGTGTAAGACCCCATTCAGAATAGGGGACTAACTAGCCCAAGGGTCAAATATGGCCAACCCACTTGAATACCTCCCCACGGGTTATCTATTCAGTGTCTATTGGCAGATTAGACAACAAGCTTTGTAGTGGGTCACCATATTTGACCCTCGGACTAGGTAGTCTCCTATTATGAATGGGGCCTAATAAATAAAACCTGTTACATACCCATGCAGAGGTAAATTGGTAAAATGATGGTAACAATATAGACATATATCATTATCAAGATATCACTTCACAAACTACAGGTAGCTACTCACCATGAACTGGAAGTCCATATGGCTTGTTTATGGCAATAATATCATCTGGAAATAAGAACAAATATGAGAGTTTCTAAACATCTTTATTTCAGAAGTATTCCTTTAGTGATTGAAAAATAGAATTCAGGAGCAATAAAAACCACATCCATGAAACTTGCCAAACCAACATTTTAACAGAAAAAAGATATGACAAAATTGGGAAGTTATCTAACAAGCTTTGACTCTGTAAATAGTAAAATTGAAACTGTAAATTGGTAAAATAGTGACTTTCTTTATCAAACATTTTTTTAAATTTTGTTTCTTGAAACTTACAAAGATTTCCACCAGCAAGTGGCATATTACTTACTCTCATCATATATTATTTCATCCACCAACATTTTTGCAGCCACCTCTTTTGGTATATGTTTCCAATTTGGGACAATGTCTTTCAATATTCTGTATCCCATGCTGTCTACTTTACCAATAAAGACCTGTCCATCTGAAAAATATAGAAAAAAATTATGGTATTGTATAATTTCATAATATGATAATTGCTCTTTTCTAATTTGATCAACTACAAGGCTTCATTAGAAAGGGTGAAAGAAACACTGTTCTAACATAAATCCAACAAAACAAGCCAGAGATCATAATCTTCACTGAAAATCATTTGTGACACTTTAAACTTGAACAAATCAAACTATTAATCAACTAAAAAGATACCTTCTTCTATCTTTTTCAGGCCCTTCTTCTGTATCCTGACCTTCATAGCCATATCATATGCAGTCTGTGGATCATCAATATTGAAAGAATCTGCCTGCTTATTCCGTTCCTCTTGTTTAGTGACATTTCTTGGGCGCCTTCCAGTTGATTTTTCTGATTCAAAATCTTGGCTTGATGAACCTGAACCACCATGCTCTTTTCCATCAGTCCTGTGATGTCCACTCTGACGAGGCCTCCTTTCCGAGGGGTCATCATGGTCAATTGTAGATGGATGACCAGACAGTTTCCTTTCCATTGCTTCACTGTGGGAAGACTGGTTGGTGATCTCCTTACCACGCATCTGAAATAAATCGTTTTAGTCTATTAGGTTGGGAAAAAAAAACACAGCAATAAATGCACTATCATAATTAAACCTTTCTAAATATGTTTATATCCTCCAGCATTATATACCAGCACACTGCATTTATCAGTCATTGAATTTGTATGAGGTGGTGTAAAACAATTGAAACTAAAAGATACCCCCCTCCAAAAAAATAAAATAAATAAATAAAATAGATACATGTACATCTCAGATGTGTGCTGTATTGTTAACTGCCAAATGGTATGAATTTAGTTCAAAATTATTTTCAAGAACACAAAAAATCATTTTTAGTTTAAAATATATTTTTGAGAGACAATATGACTTAGAACATATCTGGGGTAGCACTAACACTCACCAATTTAGCCAAATGCTAAAACTGACTGAAATTGGCTAAACAAAATAGGGTTGATTTGACTTATTTTAGTCAAATTTAAACCATTTGGACATAAAAGTGATGAAAAAGTAGTATTTTGGCTAAAGGAAAAAAATTGCTAGCGCCACCCCAGCATATATATAATTTATAATTAAGATTATTTCAGTGGCCCAGTGTTTTCCAACACCATGTATTTGATGAGTGTAATATTCAAATTATTCTCATGTCATCTCTTGATTTTTACTACTCCATTAAGTTCATTTATAAATTATTTTATTTAAACATATTTTGAAATAAAACTGGACTCCTAGGCAAACCAATCTTGAAGTTTGCTGCTTTTCATTCATGTTAATCACCAGAAATTACTGTTTTTGCAGACATACATATTTTGGCATGACACTTGTACCTTTCTAATTTCTTTTACCTGTTGAGTTTCCATATTTTTAAGGAATTTTGGAATTGACTCATTATCAGAATATCTCTCTTTTGCTTGTGATTCGTTGTAAAAAGGTTCAAAGTACTGCTCATCAATGAAACTCAGTCCTTCCAAATCCTGTGCAACCTCACTACTCCTGGCTTCAGTGCTGTATGCTGACTGATAAGTTTCAATGTCCTTTTCAGTGACAGGTACAGATTCAGATGAATGTGAACCTATTTCACCAAAATATTGCTCATCAATGAAACTCAGTCCTTCCAAATCCTGTGCAACCTCACTACTCCTGGCTTCAGTGCTGTCTGCTGACTGATAAGTTTCAATGTCCTTTTTAGTGACAGGTACAGATTCAGATGAATGTGAACCTATTTCACCAAAATATTGTTCATCAATGAAACTCAGTCCTTCCAAATCCTGTGCAACCTCATTACTACTGGCTTCAGTGCTGTCTGCTAACTGATAAGTTTCAATGTCCTTTTTAGTGACAGGTACAGGTTCAGATGAATGTGAACCCATTTCACCATCTACTTTTGGTGAATTGAAATTGGGCAAGATGTTTTCCTCAGGTTTCGGGTCATCATTATCATTTTCCTTATCACTCAGCCTGAAGTCACTTTGTGTTGTTTTAGGCTCGCCAAAATGAGGTTTTTCCAACTGCCAGTTACTGTTTATGTAACTTTTCACTTTAGTGTCTATGTCATCAATAGAATCAGTAACAACAGTATTAGTAATTTTCTTTGATTTTTTATCTATTTTTGGGAGATGCATTTCTATTTCTTGAAAATGTACACTTTGAAGGTTATCTGGATGTTTTACATATCCCACATTTTGCACTGATTTTGATAGGACTGAGCTGCTTAAACTTTTGACATTTTCTTCCTCTTTTGCTGATACTGATAAATCTCTGACAGGCCTGTCAAAGATTTGGGCGTCTTCCATTTCTTCTATAGGCACTTCACTTTGCATGTGCAGCATGGCATCATGAACGTCCAGCTCACCATGTCGACTGAGTTTATTGTCACTATCAAAGCGTATCATGCCAAATGGGGCAACCATAACTTTTTCCGCATATGCAGGTTTCTTGGGGGTTATCGAATCACGCTTCACGCTGTCCATGTCGTCCTTCTGAATGTTCGGAGTTTTTGGCAAATACAACATATCTCGCTGGAAAGCCTCTATCCCAAACATATCTGAATTAGCAATATCTTCGTCTGTATGCTGACTGAAGTTATCATTACTCCCACTGGTAGCAGGCTTACCTGCTGCCCTATAGAAACGTGTCTTGTTTTCGTTCGTGCCTCGCTTCTTTATCTGGGGTCGTGCATTTACCTCCACCTCAGAGTGGTTTCTAAAACTTTGTTTTTGCCGGCCGCGAGTGTTAACAGACATCGATCTAGAAACATGTCCAATTTTAACATCCCAATTTCTAAGGTGGAACATGCGCCGTGAAAACAGTAACATATTACCAGAAATATTAACGGTCTTGTGGACAAACATTCTCGAGGCGTGCAGCATGGTAGCTGCCATGTTGGATTTGATTCAAGACGCTCCTTTTATTGGGAAAGGCAAATGATTATCTTTAAATATTGGCATCAAATTGTACTGTTTTGTGTGAACATAGTAATGAAAATTACAATAACATACAAATATAAGTCCATTTTAATCTTTATTGGTTACATAAGAGAAATGAGATATCCCGGAAGTATATTTGGAGAGCAGAAGGTTGTCTTGGTAACTGCAGAAAAATGTCTTTACCTCCGCTCCCTCAAAAGTTGAAACCAATTCAACACTATCTTAAGACAGCAAACGAACATGATAAAAGAGATCCTATAGTTGCCTACTACTGTGAGTATGATTGTTTGCAAGCTGAATTATTGACTTCACTACCCGTGATTTTTTTAATCTTACACTGCACCATGATGTCAACAGAGACTTTGTTGGTTCATATACATTTCCTCTAATGGCTCTGTGCGTTACCGACACCGCTTGGTAACTCATTTAGGCAACTCAAGATCCAGTGTGATAAATATTTGTCATTTTGTTTGTGTTTTTTTCCAAAGTAAGTTATAGGAACAAAACAATTACAGCTCTCGGTTATATTCTCCTCTGTCCTAGCTGTTACAGCTCTGTATGTCAAAATTTGACAAAATGAAGAAATACAATGACTAGTACTTTCACTTGCAGTGTCTATGATGTTGTTCATGGTGTGAAAGTTTACTCCCATTTCACATGTGTTGATTGCCTCTAGTTCCGTTCCCCCTTTAACCATTTACCAGTATATACTGTACACATGATGGGTATGTATGTCACAGTGTCAGTAAATAAAGTACCAGACATGTACCAGTACCATTAAACCTCACTGAACCTTAAGAAATTTTGTTATGTTTTTATTTGTAGTACTAAGTAATTTGTGCACACTTGCAGGTCGGATGTATGCAGTTCAAAGAGGAATGCAATTGGACAGAACATCTCCAGAATGCAAGGATTTTTTGTTCAAACTGATGGATTTGTTAGAACAGGTATATATGCATATTATTATTATTATTATTTCTACTGTATATTTGTTGAATTACAGATTTAGCTTAGTGTTGCAAGTTGATGTGGATTTGTCAGAGATGACCATCATAAATTTGACCCCTTGTCTCCAAACTAAGCACAGAATTTGACAACAACTTGAAACAAATTTTCAAAAAATTCATTCATTCACCAGGGCAATATACCCTGACTTACCAATTCCTTGTTTACACCAACAGTACATTTTTAAATTCTCTCTGACACCAGCAAGCTGTGTGAACATAGTAAGTAAACTTCATGCAGAATGCTTACACTGAAAACTAACGTGAAGGCTAAGTAACCTTCACTTGGCAAAACACAAATTAATGACAATACATTATTTTTATTCTTCTTATGTTTGGCTGCTATGGTTTTACACTCCCCAGAGATATTAGCAGGTCCTAAAACCAGTCAGTTTTGCCAGTCTATAATATGAAAACTGAAAGAAGTAAATTTTTCAACTTAGTAAGGTTGCATTAATCAAAATATAATTTTTTCTATACAGCCTTGCAATTCTTTATAGCCAAGAATTGTGATTTTTGTTGCATAAAAATACATGTAATTATGTACAGCTATTAAACATGGTATAATTTCTATTTATAATGGTGAATAACTAAGATAATGAGATTTATTTTGTATTTTAAGACTAAGCAAACCTTAGAAGATAACGAAGCTCTCACCAATGAAGTTGTTGGCCAAGCCCATTTAGAGAACTATGCTCTGAAGGTGTTCTTGTTTGCTGACAATGAGGACAGAGCAGGAAGGTTTTCAAAGTAAGTTTAAGGGTGCGTTTAAAATGAATCTATCATACTAGCTACTGCACACTAACTCCAGTGGGACTCTTGCTGAATCCAATCAGATTAACGTGCCTCCTCTTGTTTTCACTTGTAATTACCAGCTTTAATTTTCTGTATTCAGCTCAATGCCAGAAGGAGGCATGCTATACTGTTCATCTGAAGGCATTCAGCGGAAGTCCCCATGGAGTTAGTGGCATAGATTCATTGTGAACAGACATTAGTGTGGTCAGAGTTTTGAAATTTAAATTTATCTATAAGAAAATCTGATTTTTATGTACAGACACAGATGTGTCTGTACATATAGCCATCATCTGCGTCTGTCGTCGCCGTCGTCGTCGCCGTGCACTTTTACCGATAACACGATAAGTGGAAAACCATTTTACCTTTTGACTTGAAACTTGCAGAACTGATGAATATTCATAATACGCAGGTCTAGTTCGAAAATCAGCATGATCGGGTCACTTTTAGGGAATTTATGCTGTTTTTCCACTTTTTTCAGCATATATGCAGCACCGATAACACGATAAGTGGAAAACCATTTTACCTTTTGACTTGAAACTTACAGAACTGATGAATATTCATAATACGCAGGTCAAGTT